GATTCTGTATTTATAAATAACTTGCTTTATTTTTCCATGGTGTATTTTAGGACTGTTTAACTGGTGTGTGTGTGTGTGTGTGTGTGTGTGTGTGTTGTTGTTGTTGTTGTTGTTGTTGCAATCATGGGGCTTTAACTCAGGGCCTGGGCATTGTCCCTGAGCTCTTTTGCTCAAGGCTGGCACTCTACACCTTTTTTTTTTTTGGGGAGGGGGACAGGTCAGTCATGGGGCTTGAACTCTGGGCCTGAGCCCTGTTCCTCAGCTCTTCAACTCAAGGTGAGCGCTCTACCACTTGAGCCACAGTGCCACTTCTGGTTTTCTTTCTTTTTTTTTTTGTCGGTCATGGGGCTTGAACTCTAGGCCTGGGCGCTGTCCCTCAGCTCTTCAGCTCAAGGCGAGCGCTCTACCACTTGAGCCACAGTTCCACTTGTGGTTTTCTGGTGGTTAGTTAAAAATAGGAGTCTTATAGACTTTGTTGCTTGAGCTGGCTCTGAACTTTGATCCTCAGATCTCAACCTCGTGAACAGTTAGGTTTATGGGCATGAACCACCAGCACCCAGCCACAGTTTTAGTTTTTAGTCTAATGAATCTAATCATGGATTTTGTTCTTTTTTCTTGAATTCTTCTTGAAAAGCCCCATTGGTATAGTTTCATTTGTTTTGGCCTGTTATCACAGACTTTCTTACCCTTTGGGGAAGTTAGGACTTGCAACTTAAACCAGCTTTGATGTGTTATACCTTTTCTTTTCTGATATATTGCTTCTTTTCTGATACTAGGGGCTTGAACTCACTTCCAGCCTTTTTCGAGTTCATTGGAGCTAAGGTTTCCTCTTATTTGTTTGTCTTAAGCTGGTTTCAAACTATGATTCTCAGATCTCAGCCTCCTGCAGGATTACAAGTGTGAGCCAGCGGCCCTCGCAGATTGCTCCTCTTGGCTGCCAGCTCCCACTTGCTAACAATAGCAAGCAAAATTCATTGGGATCCAAGGCTCTTTGATCTTATTTTCTCTATTTCTTTTTAGCATAAAGGAATAAAAAAATGAGGAGGAACAAAATAACATTGCATAAAGGAAAAAATGTAAAATTGAATGGGCCCTCCTTGTCTGTTGTTTTCTTTTAGCTGGAGGTAAAGTGCTGAGTGGAGGGAGCTCTGGGTTCGTGCAAAACCCCGTTTCTCTACCTTGTCACCGTGGAGCTGTTGGAAACTTGGTTGTGCAAGGGGTCACCCAAGGCATTTTGAGAGGATGCCACACTCCTTGGCTTGGACCATTAGGAGCCAAGCATCCCCCCTCCCCCAGCTGTGATAATAAAAAGTGTCTCCAGACAGCCACATGTCCCTCAGGAGATGGGCTGCCCTCACTTGAGAGCTACTGCAGTAAGATACTGTTTCAAAGGCTTCATTATTTACCCATTTCATTGAAGCCCAAAGTAGTGGGATTGTGATTTTTTTTTTAAGTTAGCAGGAGTAGAAAGTGATTCAAAATGGTACCTTTTCTTGGGCTTTCTGGGAAAACTCATTCTGTCTTAATTCTATGTTTTCAGAAATATTGGACAGCTCACAGGCCTTTGTGTATAGATTCTTTCTGGACTACTATTTGACTAGGATGTCGCTAAAGTGATTGATAGTCTTGAATCCGATCTTGTCCTGTTCTTTTCTTTTCTCTTTTTCTTTTTGCTGGTCCTAGAGCTTGAATTCAAGGACTCAGTGCTTCTTTTGCTCAAGGTTAGCTCTCTACCACTGGAGCCACAGCCCCACTTCCAGCTTTTCCTGAATAGTTTTTGTAGCTAAGAGTCTCATGGACTTTCCTTCCTGGGCTGGCTTCAAACTGTAATCCTCAGATGTTAGCCTCCTGAGTAGCTAGTATTACAGGCATGAGCCTGGCTTTTTTCCCTCCTGGTCTTTTGTATCTCTTTCTTCTTTGGCTGATAGTTTAGTGATCTTGAGGATTTATGGGGAATATTGAATGATTAAGTACAAACAATTCAGTTCTTAGTGATAATCCTTGTTTTAGACGTTTCTCATAACAGGAAAGAAATTATAAGAGTAAACTAAAAGTAAGTGTGTTTTTACCCGGTGCCAGTGGCTCACACTTATAATCCTAGCTACTCAGGAGGCTAAGATAGGAGGATTGAGATGTGAAGCCAGCCTGGGGAGGAAAGTCCATGACATGCTTACCTCCCATTAATCACCCCAAACCTGGAAATACAGTTGTGGCTCAAGTGGTAGAGCACTAGCCTTGAGGAGGTAAAAAAAAGTTCAGGGACAGTGCCCAGGCTCTTAAGTTCAGGCTCCATGATGCAAGCCTTCAAAATTGTCTTCATTTCCCAGTAAACTTTAGTTTAAAAACCAGACTCTATCACTTGTCAGATAATACCCATTCTACATTCAGACTTGACTTTTAGTTAACATGGGGTGGGTGTTGGGGTCTCAGACATCTCAGGTGGGTGGAGACATGGCATATCAGAATTACTTGGGGAGCTTTGGAAAGACTTACAGTACAAGTCATATACCACCTGGGGAGCTTTGGAAAGACAGTACAAGCCATATACCAGACAAGTTAAATCTGGTTTCTTGGGGGTATAGGTAGGTGTCAGTGTGGATCCCCTAATTCCCTTACTGCAGTGGAAATCAAGGTTGAGAAACCAGAACCTGTATTTATAAATAAAGTTTTATTGGGACACAAGTCAGGCCCATTTGTTTGTCAGCTGCCTAGAGCTTCCATGACTTGCAGCCCTAAAGTATTTACTGTTTTACTCCTTTTGGTAAAAAGCTTGCTAATCCCTGCTGTGGAGTCTTTTGTGTACATTTGTCAAATGTATTTTTTTTTCTTTTTAAGATTTGTGTTGTCTTACTGGTGAAAGAAAAAAAATGTGGTATTTGTCAAAGCCTGCACATCAAGTCCTGTGCGTTTCTTTGTGCATGGGAAAACTGAGAAGCATTTTCCATGGAGAGCTGACTTGTAGATACTCTCCATCCTAAGGGAGGAGAGACATGCCCAGAGCAGAACAGCCCTCTGTGCTTGTGTCGGCCCCCTGCTAACCCAGCATTCACGATGCACACTGTATCACTGACTTTTCCCTTGAAAGATGCTGAAGTTTGTTGTTACCATGGTAGCACTTCCAAGAAGCCATCAGGGCTCAGAAAGAGAAATCTTAGGAGCTTTAAGAGAAATGCATAGGTAGAAAAATTCTAAAAACCCACAAAAACAAAACCAACAACCCCAAAACATATTCACAGAATGTATACACTTTTCCTGTTCTGTTGGAGAGTTGATGGTTATAAACAGTTGTTAAAAGAGTCTTCTAGAAGGTCCTTCTTTGGTAGTAGGCTCCTAAATGTGAGAGAAAGGGGGTCATTGATTTCAGCTCCTGTCACCAGAGCAAGGTTTGGGGACTGGCAGATTCACGATTGGTGGAGAACATTCCAGATTTGCAGGCTTCACCTAGCTTTACTATATATCCTTACTTCCATTTGCTCTATTTAAAAGACCCCCAAGTTATTTGTGCGCTGGTACAGGGAGCAATGAGAAGCCTTGGCTTAATTGATATCTGCCTGCTGCGTAGTCAACTACACCCATTGATTGTCCTCCCTCTTAATGATTTCAAGGCTGCCTGATGGGACCTCTGACCCGAGCTGTGTTGGGAGGGTGGCAGTCCGTTCTTTGCCTTCGGCGATTTTCCACGTGCAGTTTGCTTGACCTCTTACTTAGGAAAGATTTAGAGGATGGTTAGAAATGAAAACAGGGTGACTGGCCCACAAGAGATGCCACTGTATATATTTTGGAAAACACACTTGAAAGAGTAGAAGGAACTCGCCTAGGTAAACCTCACTTGAAAGGAAATTGTCACTTGTGAGGGATCGGCTTTGCTTTCCCAAGGGGCATGAATCTACCCCTCAGAGCACACAGTGGCTTAGGGAGAATCAAGCCCACGTTTTTGTCACAGAATTAGGGAAACCAGGAACCTCAGGTCTTTCTACCATGTAATGCCATTACATTTAAAGGGCACGTAGGCCAGAGTGTCATGGGAAATGATGTTCATAGCCAGTATTAAGGAGGCCTCATACTTTATCTGCCAGGTTCTGCTAAGTTAGCACTGTTTTCTTTACCAAGTAACATTCTAAACATTTGGTTAAATAAATATAATTTTAAAATTATTTCTTAGTTCTGATCATAAGTGGCTGTTTTTTTTGGCCAGTTCTGGGGCTTGAACTCTGGTTTGGTAGGTTATTAGAGATAAGAGTCTCATGGATTTTCCTGCCCAGGCTGGTTTTGAACTGCGATCCTCAGATCTCAGCCTCCTGAGTAGATAAGATTATAGGTGAGAGCCACTGGCTCCAGGCTAAATATATTCTTACAAGGACAGTATAGGGTGGCCAAGGTAAAGATGCCACCTTACGCATGAGGAAGCCTTTAGAGGATCAATAGCATTCTTCAGCTAAAGAAGCTGGGTGACACATGACAGACTGTAGCTTCTACGTACTGACTGTAGCTTCCACGTACCGACTCTCTCCTCTCCACTTCCCTGTTCTCTTTAGGATTTGTCAACTCAGCATTGTACAGATTTTTACAGACACTCCAATAATGGTGAAATGCAACCTGGGTCTCACTGCTTTTGTGTCAGTCAGTGCTTCTGTCACTATGACAAATAAGAAAAAAAATGAAGTAGAGTTATTTTGGCTCGCGGTTTCAGAGATTTCAGCCCTTGGTCAGCTGGCTCCCTTGTTTTTTGGGGGTCATGGATGATGCTGAACATCGTGATGGGGAGCTGGTTGGGGAACAGAGTAGCTCACTCATCATGCACAGGTAGGACAGACACGACAGACAGACAGACAGTGGGAGAAGGGAGAGTGGAAATCCCTAGTGATCTACATTGTTTTTTAGCTCTACCCCATCTTCTAGCACTTCCCTGAATCATGCCACCACCTGGAGACAGCACACGAGCCTGTGGGACACATTGCACGTTTAAACCCTAACAGCAATCTTTCTTCCTCCTTCTGCAGATGAAAAACTCGGAGAACCGCCATGCAATGAGCTCCCAGTACCGGATGCATTCATATTACGGGCCTCCCTCCTACCTGGGCCAGAGCATGTCCCAGATCTTCACTTTTGATGACGGCCCTTCCTACTCGGAATCTAAAGCGAGTGGTAGGTGTCTGCTTGGGACAGGCTTTGGGTGGGGATGATTGCATCCAACACTAGGGCTCGAGCCCTATTCAAGAGCTTAGATGCAAGCTCAGTGTGTGTGAAAGCATTTAACTGTGGAGTGGTTATGCTTTGCTTGCTGGGAATGTGGCTTAGTGGTATGGAGTGCTTGCCTAGCATGCATGAAGCCCTGGGTTCGATTCCTCAGTACCACAAAAACAGGAAAGGCCAGAAGTGGCACTGTGGCTCAAGTGGTAGAGTGCTAGCCTTGAGCAAAATCTCAGGGACAGTGCCCAGGAGTTGAGCTCAAACCTCAGGACTGGCTAAGTAAATAAGATTCCCTCCAGTTTTTCCCTCATGTCCTCACCAGCCCCCCCCCCCTTTTTTTAGGTAATCTCACTATGTAACTCAGGCTCGGCTTGAATTTGAGCTTATTTTGCCTCTGCCTCGAGTGTTGGAATTATTATAGACATGCATCATCACATCTTGGTCTTTCTTGGTGATTCCCCCCCCTACTTTCCTACTTTATTAGGATTGTGGAGGGATTAAACAAAGAGGAAGAAAAATACTTGAACGTACATAAAATTCAATTCTCTGAAAAATGCACTATAAGACTCTCAACAGTCCCTGGAAATTTGGTATTATTGACTTAGTTTTTTACCAGTGCCACTGGATGAACCAAAGTTAAAATTATTGGTAAATTCTTTTTCTAGAAACTTTGTTCTGGTTCTTGTACGGAAGGTTCTTTTTTTTTTCTCTTGTGTACGTGCATGTGTGTGTGCTTGCACACGCGCGTGTGTGTGTTAGTCTTGGGGCTTGAATTCAGTGCCCTGGGTACTGTCCCTGAGCTTTTTTGCTGTTTACCACTTGAAGCTCAGCTCCATTTCTGGCCTTTTGGTGATTAATTGGAGAGAAATGTTTCACGGACTTTCCTGCCTGGGCTGGTTTCAAACTGTGACCCTCAGATCTCTGCCTTCTGAGTATGTAAGATTACAGGTGTGAGCCAGCTCATGGAAGTCTTACTTACCCAGTTCTATGGTGAAAACTGTATTAGAATGTAATGAATGATTCTTTCTAAAAAGATGAGCAGGAGTAAATGCATGCAGCTTCCTAGAGAATAGACAGAAAACTTGAAGGGAGACTTACTTCAAAATATCCTTTGTAGAAAGTAGAAAGGTAGGTTGTATAAACAATATAACATTTAAAGTAAGCATCGTGCAGTTCTGCTGAGCAAACAGCCCCAAGTCCTCTTGATTTGGAAATCAGCCCACTAGCCCCCCTCCCTAGGCTGTTATGCTGGTTCACCAACATTCTCTAAAAAACGTTTTTCACCTAACTGCTAGAAACTCAAAATTTCTTTAATCCAATATGCAGAAATTAAATTACCCACTGAAATCTTTCATGTTTCAAGCAATTTGTTTCCAATCAGCTACTGTAAAATTATTCATAATTGGGGCTGGGAAGGTGGCTCAGTGGTAGAGTGTTTGCCTTGCATGCCTGAGGCCCTGGGTTCGATTCCTCAGCACCACATAAGCAAAAAGAAAAAAGCCGGAAGTGGCGCTGTGGCTCAAGTGGTAGCGCACTAGCCTTGAACTGAAGAGCTGATAGCCTTGAACTGAAGAGCTGAGGGACAGCACCCAGGCCCAGAGTTCAGGCCCACGACTGGACCCCAAAAAAACAATTATTCATAATAGAAATACCAAACATTTAGATAGCTAAATAATTACTACAGCTAAAGCATCTTCAGTACATGTTTCTTTTGTGCTGAGAATGTACACAATCTTACTAGCACCCCAAAAAACATGGCATAAAAAGTGATTCTGAAAAGGCTAGGTCGGCTACCAAAAAAACAGGCCCATACCTGTAATCCTATCTACTCAGGAAGCTGAGATTTGAGAATCTCTATTTGAAGCTACCCTAGGTAGAAAGTTTGTGAAGTTCTTATCTCACAATTAACCACCAAAGAGCTAGAAGTGACATTGTGTTCCCAGAGTTCAAGCCCCAGTATCGGCACACATACACACAAAAAAGCAGTCTCAGAGATGTAAATTTTGTACTTTCAAAGCTGGTATCCTGTTGTTAAAATATTCAAGAAACAAGTAATATTTCTTTAAGCTGTATCCACAGCACTTAAAAATGCCCTGTAGATCCTTACCCAGCCATGTTAGGAACATTGTCTTCCTGAGATTAAATTTTGTTTGATTCTTTTTGTGCCAGTCCCGGGGCTTGAACTCAGAGCCCTTACATTCTTGCTTGGCTCTTTTTGCTCAAGATTGGTACTCTATTATTTAAACCATACTTCTGCTTCTGAATTTTGCTTGACTTTTTTTTTTTTGGCCATTCCTGGAGCTTGAACTCAGGACCTGGACATTGTCCCTGAGCTTCTTTTGCTCAAGGCTAGCACTCTACCAATTGAGCCACAGTGCCACTCTGGCCTTTTCTGTTTATGCAGTACAAAGGAATCGAATCCAGGGCTTCATGCATGCTAGATAAGCACTCTACCGCTAAGCCCTTTGCTTGATTCTTAATAGGATAATTTTTTTTCTCCCTTTCCTTTCTGGATACCTGTAGTGACAACAATAATTATTAGAGAATTCCGTTTAGTAGCTGAAAATGTCTTTTCTGGAAGACCGGTAAGAAAAACAGATTCCCCAGCCCCTCCTGCAATTATGGTACAAACTTGGGGCGTTTACATGCTAGGCAGATATTTCTGGGGACCTCCATTCCTGGTACCCAGGGACATGCCATTCCAGTCTGGATATTTTGTGTGTGAGACTGTGTGTGAAGTGAATTTTTGTATATTACTTGTTTCCCAGAAATTTTCATTTTAAAATTGAAGATGTATTCATCTTTTGGGGTAGAAATAAAATAACCCAATAAAACATTTTTTTTAATACAGGTGATCTCAGAGTTTATGCAGTAGCAATGCAAATAACTCTAATATAATGGCTTTGAAGTAAAAAATGGCTGCTTAATGAACCGGAGCACTTGGAAATACATAATTCTTCAACTTCAGTTTTAACCTTCTCCTAAACATTTAGGCCGTGGTAATAGGCAGGCTAGTCTTATGGTGCTGGGTTTCCAGATCTCCTTTTAAATTTTTTGTGTTGCGACACCATCTTTTGTTTTAGCAAATGCAACCCAGGCAGGAAGTGGAAGTCAGGAAGGCTTGAGTAGGAAATGGCACTGACCTACTAAGGCTTATCCTGTACTAAGTAAAATGTGGTTTTCCTTTTTGTTGTTGTTGGTGGTGGTTTTGGGGTTTTAACTCAGGTCTTGGGTGCTTTCCCTGAGCAATTTTGCTCAAAGCTAGTGCACTACTATAGCTCTACTTCTGGTTTTCTGGTGGTTAACTGGAGCTAAGAGTCTCACTGGGCTGTGGGAAAGTGGCTTGTGCCTGTAATCCTAGCTACTCAGGAGACTGAGATCTGCGAATTGTGTTTCAAAGCCAGTCCCTGTGAGACACTTATCTTTAGTTAACTACTCAAAAACTGGAAAGTGGAACTGTGGCTCAGTGGTAGAGCGCTAGCCTTGAGCATAAGAGCTCAGGGAGAGTGCCCAAGTCCAGATTTCAAGCACCACAACTGACAAAAAAAAAAAAAAAAAAAAAAGACTCTCCTGGGGACTTTCTTGCCCATACTGGCTTTGAACTGTGGTCCTCAGATCTCAGACTCCTGAGTAACTAGGATTGCAGGCATGAGCCACTGTGCTGGTGTGCGTGTGTGTGTGTGTGTGTGTGTGTGTGTGTGTGTGTGTGTAATCCTCCTACCAATGCGCCTTGAGAAGCTGGGATCACAAGCATGAAATCACCACATCTTGCTTGTTGATAGACATAGGGGTCTAGCTAACTTTGCCCAGGCTGGCCTTCGACTGTGGTCCTCCTGTTCTCTGCTTCTCAGGTTAGCTGGGATTACAGGTGTGCACCACCTGGCCTGTCATGTTAAAATAAATTTATCATATAGGGAAACACAAGCATGAAAGACCAGGGTCCTCACTGTTAATGTGACAGAGCCAGTGCACAATTTAGGAATGAAGCAGTTAAGGAAATAATTGTTCTAGAAATTTCTTCTAGAAATTAGGCAGGAAACCCACTCGTAGGAAGAAATTGCCTGTGCTTCTTATTCTAGGAATAAGGGAATATTTTTAGAGGCGGCTTTTTTGAGACAAAGGTATAAATTCAGAGCAAGGCAGCAAGACAAAACTATAAGAGGCAATTTATTAGAGGCAGAGAGGAAGAAATCTGGAGAGGAGCAGGAGGCATTTGAATTTATGGCAGAGTTTGAAAAGCATAGACACAGAAGAAAAGAGGTTACAGTCCAGGAAAGCAAGGCCAGTGCACCAGTGTTCACAGAGAGAAATTACTAGAATTTCTTACAACTTTTCTGCAGATGGATTCAGCTGAAAGTACGGATGCTGAGAGACCTGGGCCCTGCTTTGGGCCCTGTGTCTCACAGTTGATCAGGTATGCACGCTTGGGAAATGGAGGAGTGAACCAGGAGGAGCAATGGCAAAAGCTAATAATTACTTTGGGATGACTATGGAGAAAGGGATTATCCAAAACCTGGCTAATTTCTGAAAGTCATGTCTTTAGGATTTCACAGTGTGTGTTAGCTTGAGGCACGGGATTTTTACAAAGCAGGTAGGAGGCAAAGGCACAATATCTGGGATTAAGGCCCCATGGTTCATCTTTCAGGATATGTGAGCTTCCATTTTTCTCTTCAGGGCTTGCACAGTGGGGAACATTTGGAGAGGTTAAACCTTTGGATATCTTCAGATGGGAAGAAGGATATCATAGATTGTGTGTGTGTGTGTGTGTGTGTGTGTGTGTGTGTGTGTGTGTGTGTGTGTATTGTGTGTTCCAGGCCTTGGGCTTGAACTCAGGGCTTGGATGCTGTTCCTGAGCTTTTTTGCTCAAGGCTGGTATTCTAACACTGGAGCCAAAGCTCCACTTTTGGCTTTTTGTTGGTTAATTGGAGATAAAACTTTGCTGTCTGGACTGACTT